TATATATATACGTACAGCAGTATATATATATATATATATATATATATATTATTTCTGTGTTAAGAAAGAAAAGATAAAATAATGTGTATAAAACAAAATGTTAAAAAGTTTCCCCTGAAGAACCCTTATGTTGGTGGGAGTGTAAATTAGTACAGCCATTATGAAAATGGTATGGAGGTTTCTCAGACAACTACAGATAGAACTACCATATGATCTAGCAATCCTACTATTGGGTCTATACCCAAAGTAGTGGAAAGCATCATGTCAAAGGGATACCTGCACTCCCGTGTTTGTTACAGCTCTATTCACAATAGCCAGGATAGGTAACCAACATAGATGTCCATTAACAGATGACTAGATAAGAAAAATGTGGTATATATACACAATGGAATACTACTCAGCCATGAAAAGAATGAAATCCTGTCATTCACAGCAGCATAGAAGAGCCTGGAGAAAATTATGTAAAGTGAAATAAGCCAGGCACAGAAAGAGAAATACCACATGTCCTCACTCATAAGTGGGAGCTGAAAGAAAGAGAAAGGAAAACAAGAATCATAGTAGTACATTGAACTTTCAGAAGAAGAGAACAATACAGTCAACAAAACAGAGCCATGAAAGGGGAAAGAAAAGAGGGCTATGAAGAAAGTGTTAATGAACACAAACCAGCTAATTAGGAAAAATAAGTTCTCTTGATTTACACTCTACTTGGCCACCTATAATTAACAATAATTTACTGCATGTTATCAAATGACTAGAAGAGAGAAGATTAAATGTCCTCAACACAAAGAAATGATAACATTTCATAATGATGAATATGCTAATTATCCTGACTTGATCATCACACATTGTACACAGGTATTGATTTTCAACTCCATACCCCACAATATATGTAATCAATTATGTTTCAATAAAAAAAGTTTCTCCTGAAAGTTGCTCTCTTCCTCCTCAAAGATATCCACCTATTAGATGAGAATGGAGCAACTCAAGTAAAAATCAAGTAGTATGAAAAAAAAAGAAAACTCGAGACTTAAGTAATTATTTTTCTATTTAGGAATTAAGAAATAAACATGTATTAAGGAATCTAACATGTAATGAGGCTCTCTTATTTTAATATTGTTCTAGTTGTATTTAAAATATATTTAATTTGGAAATATATAAGTATATGTAGGATAACATAGATATTTATGATCAAATTTTTTATTTTTAAAAGGCAACCGGGTTTTGTATTGTTATATATTTCTTTTCTTTTTGTCTTTCTATCCCTCATTGGTTTATGTAAACATAACTAGATACTTGTATTAAAATTCACCTGATGGCAACTACTTAAATTGCAAGCAAAACACCTGGGAGGAAATAGTGCCTGTAATGTTTGCCTAACTGAAACTTCTAAATACTACTAAATAATTAACAAAACTCTGATGTAGATGTAGGGGTTAAAATTTTTTAGAATGTAAAGAAATAAAAGCAAACATTTATAATTTTTTATAGGGTGCTATATGATTTTATCTAAAGTATAATAACTCTATAAGGCATGTTTATTATTATGTTCAGGTTTAAAGAGGCTTTGTAATAGGCACAAAGCCATTTAATTAATAAGTGATAGAATTGGAATTTGAACTTGTTTGTTTGAATCTGAACTCTGTACTTTTCTACAACCCAACAAGACATAAAACTACTTAAAAGTTACTTTACTTGCTTTTGCATATGATGATATTTTTAAAAAGATTTTCTTTTAAGGCTCAGAATCACTGTTGGAATTTTGCTAGAGGAATAAGACAAATTACATTTTAAAAATAGAAATACCTTCCTTTAACACAATGCATGTTGGTAGTATGGAGAGTAAAAAGAATAATCTCAAAATTTTTCTCTTTGTATTTTTTTCACCTTGTATATATCCAAGTGTTATTATCCTGATGTTCCACAGCTGGAAGACTGTTGAGACGAATTAAGCTTACAGGATTAGTGAGCTAAGAAATATAACAGCCGATAAATTTGAAATGGAGGTTCATGTGACTCCATTTTATTCTGAAATCCCCAAATCCCCCTGCACGTTGACTTGAAGTTTCTGATCAGAAAGGATAAAAAAAAAAAAAGAGACTGGAGTTCATAGGCAAAAAAACCTAGAAGTGTTGATGCAAATATATATATTATGCAAATATAAATATTATGCTGTGGCAATTATATACATTATATTATATATTTACATGATACATAAAAATATAACATGTATCTCTGCCTCAGCATTTCTGTTTCTTCGCTTTTGAAGTATGTGTGTGTTGTTGTTGTTGTTGTTGTCGTCATTTTTCTTGACAGCCATGGCTTTTTTGAAGATAGAAATCTACATTTCATTTGGGAAATCACACTTATCTCATTATTAGCCATAAGATTTGGGTTTGGACTGATGTCATCTCCATCTCCAAGGAAGGACTCTGAGTGGCTTAACATAATAAATAAATCCCACACCCTGGTCAATAGAGGTTAGTTCAGAATGGGACATGTGACTCAGAGCTAAGGAGATATAGGAAAGCTTTGTTTTGGCTTCTAGGAAAGAAATTCTCTCTTCTACTAGATGTGATGTAAAGATTGTGAGGCTTTAGACTGTAGCAACCATCTTGTTAAAACATAAGATACCAGCCAGCAAGGAGTATACAGAGAAAGTCAGACCTAATACATACAAGCATCTGTCTCTAAGGATCCCATCTGAAACTGTGTTCCATACCACAACTGAAGCAAGGCCTATCTCTGATATTCTGAGTTATGTATGCTGATATACATGCTCATTTTTGTTTCAACCAGTTAGAATAGTATTTTATATCACTGGGAGTTGGAAATGTACTAATAGCTACAATGGACAGAGAATATTGGAGTATTTTTACATGTTCAGCACTGTTCTATGCTTTATGATATACAGAAGAGTCATGGTCCTTTCCATCATGGAGCTTACCATTTATAAGGAACATGGATATGTACATGAACAAAAAACCACAATTCTAATGCCATAAGTATATGACAGGGGAATTCCCAAGGTGAAATAGAAGCAATGAGGAAGGGCAGAGATAAAATTGAGTCTAACCTGTGATTTTTTTCAGCCTTTTGGGGAATGTATTTGATCTTTATGACATCTGAGTGAAAAGAAATATTGAGTCTTTTTGTTTCTGTAAGAACCACTTTTTAAATAAGCCATATCTTTTTCTAAGAAGCAGTGGAAGCTACTTATTCAACCCATGTTACACCACTTCAATTATTATGAAATTTAAAAGTGAAAACTTTCTCTCTTAGTTAATGCATGACAGTTTTATAGACCAGTGGTTTTCAATCTTTGCTGCACAATTTAATCAACTGAGGATTAAAACAAACAAACAAACAAACAAAAAAAAACCTCCTGATAATCAGGCCATGATCACATAGCAATAGATTCAGAATCTCTAAAAATATATCCAAGGCATCAGCATATTTTTATTAATTCCCTGGGTTATTCCAATGTGCAGGCAAGTTTGACAGCCAGTGTTACCTTTAAGTGCTTCTTAAAATTTAATGTGTACACCAGTCACCTGGGGATATTGTTGCAATGTAGATTATGCTTCTATACGTCTGGATGGGGTTTGAGAGTCTGCATTTCTAACCATCTCTCACATGATGTCAATGCTACTTTAAGTAGCAAGGTTATAAACAAGTGCATTCAACAGAAATATGACACAAGCCACATATGCAATTTTGAATTTTCCAATAGCCACATAAAAAGCATAAACAAAAACAGGTGAAATTAATTTTACTAATGTATTTTATTTAAATGAATGTATTTAAACACAAATATTATCATTTAACAATGCATTCAATATAAAAATTATTAATGATATAATTTATATTATTTGGGGGGTAAGACTTAAAATTCAGTGTTTATGTTACCTTCACAGTACATCCCAAATTAGACCAGTCATATTTCAACTGTTAATAGATATATGTGGCTAGTGGTCACCATATTGGACAATCCAGTTGTAGACCACTAGATCCCATTAATCCACATTATGAAAATACTAGAATACATTACATCAGTTTTTCAAGGACATTGTAAAAGAATGGACTACTTACCAATAAGTTTCCAATTAAAATGACCATCATGTAAAAAGAAATACACCAGGATTTGTTTGCTACCTCCATGCAGTCCCATAAGGTCTCTATCCACTCTCCACATAGAATTCGAAACACAGTCAGGTAGGAGTGGAAGAAGTCATGCATGTGCCAGTGTGGGAGTTGACAGTCTTTATCTATGCGGCAGACATGTTTTTTGTAATTCAGACCAAACAACTTCATCCCAAACACAGCAGAAAAGAAGATGAAGGTGAACAACAGCAGGACCAAGTCTTTCAGGGCCACCAATGAGTTACTAAGAGTCAGCATCAGAATCTGAAATGTTGGCCAATATTTCCCCAATTTGAAAATTCGCAACTAACAGAGCAATGTAGAAAACAGCACGGAAAACAAGAAAAAAGGAACAAAAAACCTGGTGAGTATTTATTACTATGTGCATTTAAAATATTTATCAGCATTATACACATACCTGTATGGGAACATAGCCTTTAAAGTCGCGTTCAGTTTTAAGCATTATTAATATTAACCACTGAATATTCATTTTATGTATAATTCTTAATATATCTTAAGAATTTTGTACACTGAATCTATACCTATCCTCTTCTATTGATCTGTTTTTCAATTCCCATTCAATGTTATACTATTATAATTACCCTAATTTTTTATTTTAGTATCTGTCAGGGCAAGTATCCATTGTTTGCTTTCGCTTTTCTCAATGCATTGAATATTTTCTACATTTTGTCATATAGATGATATTGGAAAAGTTTGTCAGGAACCAGTGAATTCCACTAAGTTCCTATCATGTATTTCCCTTTTACAGTAACATATTAAAGACCAAACACAACATACTAGCTTTAATCTAAATATTTCCCTTCTTTTCACTTGATTTTTTATTTCTATTTATACAGTATGAGATTATCTTAATATTTTTGGTCACTATATCACAGTGAACTCACAGTCATCTGAAACCCATACATCATTTTTATACATGCATTTTATATAGTTGCTTTCTGGACTAGACAGAAGACTGCATTTATTCATGCAAAATTTAATCAATTTTAGATTCAGTCCATTACTAGCCTTTAAGATATTTTGATACTTTTAGCACACTTCTGCATTTGCCAGTCTTCTTTTATCCATAAATTTGATGACTACATCCAGTATATATTTCTCTTAGTCATTAGAAAAGTTTGTGGATGAGGATTTAAGACAGGATTCTGAAGAAGCTGCCCTGTAGGAGGTAATCATTTATTTGGATAAAATCAAATCTACTTAATTGTTCTTGATTTCTGCTACATTCTTTTAATCTGTCACCGAAATGTGACAACATTTTACCTAACAAATGCTTAATATTTCTGTAAATACCATTCTAATAACATTATTTCTTTGTGTAATGTTCTTATTCTCACCATCAGCCTACAATGTAGACATATACTGATTCTGACCTAATAATTTTCATAATAACATTCTGGTGACCTGACTGGTCTTCCTTTTTAAAGTTTTATACCCTACATTTAGAAATACTTGGTTCCAGTTTCTTAGTCACATATTGGTTGCACTTCTGGGAGTCTTCATTACCTTGCTGTTTAAAACTTACCTAGTTGCTCTGGCCCTGCTTCCTAGAACTACATCTCAAATTTGCTGCTTAAATGGCCTTATTTTGTTTAATGCTTTGGTCAAACAATAGCATTGGAGACTGTTTACTCATTCTTGGGGTGCTAAGCACTTTATATGTGAATTAATTTATCTAATACTGCCAATGTCCCAATGGTATAGGTGTTACTATTATCTCATTTTATGTCTGAAAAACTGACATAAACTTTGGTGAAATAAAAATTAGGTCTTGGATTCAACTTACCATCCTGAACAATCGAAACGCAGCTACTCCTTCAATATGCACTAGACAAAGTTCTGCTAAACCAAGGAACACAATTATGCTATCAAAAATGTTCCAACCTACTTGGAAATACCCATATGGATGCATGACAATTATTTTTAAAATCATTTCTGCTGTAAAAATTCCAATAAAAACCTAAATAAAAACAAAACACATGGGTGAGAATATGACTCCAATAGCTGTATCAGACCCTTCATACACAGAAACTCTTAACAAACAGTGTTAACTTTTTACTGTCAGGTTCTTTGCAGCTCCTCTGTCAAGATCTGGTTAGTTTCGGAGTCTGTATTAAAATGACAGACTCATATATTTTATTTAATAATACAATGTCAAACACTATATACAGAATCTTCAATTACTTTAATAAAGGTCATCTTTGAAAAAAAACGAGAATATTTGAGGGTGAAATTTCATTTTGAATAGTTCCTTTTAAGATACAGTGTACAGGTTAAGATATTTAATTTTTCAACGTGTGAAAAAATTAAAAAATCCATAAAAAAGCCCAAGGTAAACCTATAGAACTGTCTTTTAAAAACTGTGCTAGAAATTACTGTTTTAGATCAAGTAAATGTATAATTCAAAACTGGTAGCAGTTTGGCTGTTTTTATTAGTCCTAAGCAACTAAATAACAACAACAATAAAAGCAAAGAAAATTAAACAATATACATTTGCTTGAATGTGACTTTTAAAAAAACTCATAGAGATCTGTTTTGTCTTTTGTAGTGTATGTTAAAAAGAACAGATGAATATCAAAAATAGTTTGCCAAAATGATAAACTCCTATTTAAGGCAAAGACAAACTGTTAGAATAGACAGGGCCAGGTGCTACTGTACTCAGAATTCAGAATTCAGGTGTCAATGAAAAACTTGTGCCTATTATTTTATCTCTGCCCTACTCTGATCTATGGGGTGATGGTACCAAGAGAGTGTATATTTAAGAAGGGAGGTACAATAAATAATTTTCATTTAATTTGACTTCAAGCAACTGTCTAAGAATCCTAAATTTAAATGGCAGAATTTAAAGCTCCAGCTGTAAAAATATTCAGTGCCAAGAACATTTACAAGGAGGTTGAGCATGAACCATTCAGTAATAATGCACACTACATTATATTGCAGTTATAAAATAAAGGCAATAATGATGAATAAAAGAAAGTTGAACTTGCAAATGAAAATAATGTACAATGAGAATCTTACCAGGTTTCCAATGCTGAGTAGATTGTTGGTTTCTTCACTCATTGGATAATGTTCGATGGCCAAAAAATGTATGTTTAAAATTATGCATATGATAAGGAAAAGATCAGTAAATGGGTCCATTACAACCCTATGGACAAACTCTTTCAATTTTAGCCAACAGGGAGAACAATTCCAGATCAAGAAAGTTTTAGCAAACTTATACCAACACAATGGGCATTTCTTCCTACATTCTTTAAGTTCTGAAATGAGAGAACAGAAAAGTTAAAGTTAGCAAATTGTTTAAGTTCTGACTAATAGATATTTTTGACTTTTGCGTGCAAAGGCAGATGAAATTAGGCTTCTGATTTGGGATTAACAAATATAAATGTTCTATACTAATAAAAAGCAGAGTGAAGTAAGTTTCCTCTATTTTGTTCATAAGTGCTGAGTTAACAAATGAAAATGAGGCAAACTGCATATTTGAAGAAAAACATAGGAGTATCTATCTCCCAAGAAAACAAATATGGACTATAGTTGAAAACATTAAGATTTATAATTTCTAGATTTATATGCTTTATAAATTAATGCCTTTCAATGTTGTCCATGAAAAAGAATTACTGACCATATGTAAAAAATGTAGAGACAAGTCTAGGAATAACCTTGAAATATTAATGTTATATACTCCAGTCTCTATTTTTAGTCACAAGTTAATACTTCAATATGTTCTAAATGTTAAACAAATAAAATTCCTTGGTATTTTTTGGTGACCCTTTCTGGTGTTTAAAACACTATGCTTCTGAGATTTTTTCTGTATTGTCTATCTTAATATTCTCAATGTTATTCCTTAAATTTTGGTTAACGATCTAAGATTCTGAAGAAATTGCAGGATTTCTTTAAAAGTGAGACTTATGATATTACTTTCCATTGAGTGTCGAAATAATTTTTACTTTACCTTCTTTATGTCTGAGAGTAGCATCTTCCAATATATCCAAAGATGTGTTCATGGCAGCTGGTGATCTATTCTTCATTTCTATTTGTGTAGTCTTGGTCTGAAAAGAAATTTGATGGGTCTAATACTGGCTTCTCCCATTTATAAATCCAAGACTATAACTACAAGAAGGTATACAAGCTTCCTAAAAATGTTGATTCTTACCTCCAGGTGCCTATTTGGGTACTATCATTTGCCACTCTTTATACCATAGACACTATTAAACTAACTTAGAATTATTTGGAAAAAGAATGTGTATAACATGCAACTCAGTAAAACTTTATACTATGAGGTCATCTATAAAAGGAGTAAGGACCAGGGAAGGTTAGTGGTACTGCCATATTTGATAAAGAATTCAATATATGCTTTAGGTTTATTGTAAAATATTAAATCACCAAACACACTGCTGAGTAATAACAGAATATTTTCCTAACACCTTAAATTTTTTCCTTAAGTGCATGTTAACTTTATAACTTTGTAAATTCTCTTAATAAAATCAAAATGATTTGGTTTTGTGATGATAAAATAAGCTTTGAAGAACATTTATCAGTTAATGGAATGAATTTAAAAGGGTTGCTTTGGATAGAACGTGTATAATACTAAATGAGTAGGATAGACATAGTTCCATAAAGGAATCATTTCTTTCTGTTTCTCATGTCTCTTGATTAATTGTTTTAAGAGACCCTGCTTTGCTCATTTTGCATTGGAATGGCACTCAAAACTCCTAGGCTTTCATGGAGATATTACAAGTTCTGTAACTATCATAAGTATAGACTTTTCTAGTGACCATATGTAAAATTGTTTTTGGATTTAAACTCCATGAGCTTGACAATGGGTGTGTGATATTATATAATAGTGATTCCCAACAGTTTTTACATTTGGCACACACAAAAATGATAATATTTGTGTGTTTGTTAACTTGGGGTAAATAGGTAAGATTGCTTCTGAACAGTTAACTGAGTTGGGGATTGCTGCTGCCCAGCACTGAAGTAATTAGTGGTGGAGGTTTACCGATAACCCAGCCCAACACTCCAAGTGGCAAATTCTGCTGTGATATATCTGAAGTGGCATACGAGATACCAAGGGGATCATCATATTCATCTCACTCAGTATCAGTCAAGTCCCTTCTAATTTCATAAATACTAGAGCTAGAGGAGGTTAAAACCAATCATAGTGCGTACTGAGTTTCATCAGGAAAATGACGGATTCTTTGGGCCTACAGAGCTCTGTTTCCTCACTTTTTTTTTAATTGAAAAAGAAAACTAAAAGCTCAGCATGCGAGGTTTATTTAATTAAACACTGCTTATCCCAGAAAGTGCTTTTTAGTTGATTTACAAGTTTACATAAAATATAAGTTATAATTTTTACAATTCCAAATTTTCATGAGATAAAAACTAATAGAAGTAGAATTTTTTTCTTTTTCTTTTTTTTAAATTAAGATCAGACATAAGTTTCTCAGGTGTGTATCTTCTTAAAGATAGTTCTTTGTAATATAATGCATAATGTCCTCAACTATATCCTTAAGACAGAGGAATTACTTCTTATAGTGCTGTTTCAGATAGTGACAATGTTTGCAAGTATCACACCAAAGAGCAATTCAATAAAGATAACTGTGGGGGGGGGGGCGAATGAAGGAGGTAGTAACAATGTCGTTGATATAACCAGTGTTTCATTCTCAACTAGTTTGGCTTGAACTATGGGTATATTTTAGAATATAAAACGAATGAAACATGTATCAGTCTAGTAATATGTTTACCTTGATTGAGCTTCTCATAAATATTCAATGAATGCCCACATGTTAGCCAATTACTAAGGATGTATCTACTCTACAATACAAATTGAGAGGATTATAATCCAATAACTCTCCTTTTTTTTTAAAGGATAGTTTTAGAGCTAATGAACTTTTTAAAAAAGTTTAGGGGCTGAACTTTGGACAGTGTAACATTAAAATTAAACTGGAAAATGAGGCTAGAGTTCTTACTCTCAAAATTGGTTTCAGTTTTCTTTGGAGAGAAGGTATGAATAAAGAAGCACCTAGTCACATTTCATGCATTTAGCTATGAATATCTGACATATTTATCTTGGACTCAGATCTCCTGCTTCCTGTATTTAGCATGAATGCATTTTTCACATCTCAGTTCAAATGTCAATTCCTCATAAAATAAAAACCTTTTCTGTCTAGGAGAAATCCTAGTCAGAAAAGGCTCTCAAAGGCTCTCAAAGCACTATATCTCTCTGCTTTATTGCGCTTGCCCGAGTTTCATTTAATTTTTTAAATAGAGAATAATACAGTGAGTAACCAGGTGCCTAATATCCAGCCTCACCAATTAATAATATTATACTCTTCTTTTCAAAACTTATTTCTTACCTGCTTTTTTCTGAGATATTTCAAATTAAATTTCAGACCTCATATAATTTTCAGATAAAGCTTTTGAAAAAACATAAATCACAACACCATTATTACAACAGGCAAAATCAATAATTCCTTAATATTACCCAATACCCAGATCATACTCAGTTTTCTTTCATTGCTCAAAAACATTTTATTGTAGTTGATTTATTCCATTCAAACCGCAAGCAAAGTCCATACATTGTGTTTAGTTGTTAGGTCGGTTAATTATCTTGTAATTTTAATTTATTATTTTTCTACATGATTCATTTGTTAAAGATACTGGGTCTCTTGTACTATAAAATTTTCCATGTTCTTGATTTGGCAGATTGTGTCCTTTCAGTGTAACTTAATATGTTCTTCTCTATCCTATAGTCTCTGGAAAATGGCTTATTAGACTTAGCTCAGATTGTGGCAAGAATATATTGTACATGGTGTTTTGTGTTTCCTATCTTATAATACTAAGAAACACATTAATTTATTGCCCTAGAGATACAGTTTTGTGTTTACAATAATTTTATAGTCTATCTCCTCATTAGAACGTTAGCTTCACGAAGATAAACACTATTTGTATTTATTAAAAATTGTATATCTCCAATGCTTAGTGCAATTGTTAATAATGTTTTAACTAATTAGATAGATGCACTATAAGAATGTCAATGTAGATGTGGCAAGTATTTTTTAAATGTTTGTATTCGTACAGTTTTATATATCTGATTTTCTTACTGAAGTTTTGCCAGTAGCTGATAATTCATAGGAAAGTTTCACCTGCAAGCTGTGTAACTGATAGAATAATACAGTTTGGGCTCTGAGCCTCTAGAACAAGGAAGTAAAGTGCTGAATGATGAGCTGTTTACCTTAGTGTTGAGAAATAAGACACCAGCGAGTACAGATCAAACTTTGCCGCTGAAACTCCTCAGTGAGGATTAAACTTAAGAATTCATGAGGACACATTATATGTTTGGCACGTAATTGGCAATAAACATTGTATGCTGCTGCTATTATCATTATCATTATTATTTTAATTACCTCTAAATACAGTCAGTGACTTAAGAATTTCATGTTGGTGGATTTTCCTCCATTGGGACAGCTGCACCTTCTTGCGTTCCCAATAATTAGCCATTGGCTCTATATAATCTTTATTACATGTGACTTAAATTTTATAGCGTACAACTATAAAAATTTTAAATTGAGGTATAATTGATAAATCAAAATGTATATATTTAATACGTGCAATGTGATGTTTTGATATATGTATATATTTGTGAAATGATTTCTACAATCAAGCTCTACATTTGCTACTTTGGAGACTAAATCTCAATTTTCTCATGGGAGATATGGAAATAATTCCTACACCTCAAAGAGTTTTCACAGGAGTAATGTGATAATGTATGTAAAGCATTTGGTATTGAGTCTAGAACATAGTAAATAAAGAATAAATGTAACATAATATTAATATTGTTATGAAATAATTTACTTCTAAAATTTGAGTTTATTTAAAAACACATATTTTTCTATAAAGACCAAATAGTCTTAATGTGGATTGCTGAGTATGATAGTTTTGGTAAAAGCTATATTTAATATGATGTATGATGTTGATATGTTATTATATTTTTATTAATATTTCTTTGTAACTTGTTTTAGTTGCTTATTATGGTCTAAGCACTGCTAAGTGCTTTACATGCCTTTATTTCATTTGGACCTACAACAACCTATAAGACAGGTTCTATCATTACATACATTCATACAGATAAAGAAGCTGAAGTTTAGAAAGGTTAACAGATGTGGTAAATATCACACATCTATTAAGTGGCTAAAATGTATTGAACTCTATATTTATCTGATTGCAGAACTCTGCTCTTAGCAAGTATGATCTACAGGTTTCCTATAATGTGAGAATATAAAACATCTATGCAATCTCCCTGTATTGCATAGATATTGGAATTGGAATTTGACTAGTCTTAGATCAGTCACCTAAAGTTTCCTCAGTATGTTCCATTTTAAATTCTCTTCTCTCCATTGTTTTCTTACATTTAAATAAAAAAGAGAAAGAAAATAAATATCCTGAAAATATATTGTAGTTTCACTTCCCAGAAAACTCTTCATGACAAAATGTTCCAGGACTCTTCCTGGAAGATAAATTAGTTATAATTAAAACATTTTAGTTAAAACCAAAAAGGCTTTATGTCATCCAGAGAAGCAAAATAAGTGGAGATACTGGGAAACTGGGAAATGTCTAACTTCCTCATAAGCAGACTTAATAGAGCATTTCATCTTGGGATAAGAGAAGTATTGTTATGCTCTTGGATACATTTGTGTGTAGCCATAAGCCCTTGAGATTTTGAAATGCCACTTCAGAACAAATTATGCATTCAATATATCATTCAGACCCTAATCATTCAGTCTGAAGGACCCTGGACTCATTTCTAGAGACAGAAAGCTTTTGTAATGTGTTTTTCTGTCACTTACTCATGGGTGATAAAATGTCTATACTCAATAGCCTCCTTTTATACATGTTTTCTTCATACAGTCCATAATTGCTTCTTGTTCAATGGTATGCATGATATGGACACAAGTGTCTGTCAAGTAACTGGGTATGAGCCTACATCATGTCATGCAGTCCCGACTTTTTGGTACAATGACTTTCTCAAGCTTCTTCACTCATGATGACTTAATAAAAGGGTTATGGCAAAGTTAACATTTCCCGCTCTTTGACTCAAGAGACCTTTGATATTAATGAACCTCTTAGCCAGCCTTACTACACATTCCACTAAGTGCCAGAGTATATGCTGGCCCTTACTTCCCCTCATCTCTTTTTTTCTTCCGTATATGGGAGGGTCTTGGGTATGGCTTCTCTCTGTCTTTTGTCCTCTGCTTCAATCTAGATCCTTTTCTCATCTACCAGAAAGGTAGTTCCTGGAGGAGATGTGAGATTGCCAGATCCTGCAGAATATAAGAAATCTACCTCTGGTTGCTTTCCACAGTCTTGCTCTTTTTTTTTTTTTTGTTTTGTTTGTTGGTTTTTAGCATGCTTATGGCACAACTTAGATTTTTAAAGGTGATTTTTCACAACTCCTGAATGCTACTCTATGAGGCTAAAAATCTGGAAAAATATTTAAACACAACACTAAGGTAATTGAAAATTACAGTTAAACATTATTAGGTTTTACTAATCAAGGATTTAATTATTGCACGGATAAAATAATTCCCTAAATCATGATGCACAGTGTATTTCCCCTTGAAAGAGCAAGGAGGTCAACAAAGTTTCTCTTTATAACTTCATTATTGTACTTTTATCCATTCTTTCAGTACTTCCTAATTTCTAAATTATGGAAGGCACTAGCACTTTTGAGTTAAAGACATTTTCCAGAATTAATTCTGATATGCTGTCTGAAGCAGGTTTGAATTAATGAACTATACCTATATTAACAGAAGTCAATTTCTAAAAACATATAATATACCCATAGTTTATCAGCAGTAGCAATATGCGTTTTGGAACAAAAAATCACATAAAAAAGAAATCTTTTAAAGAAGTCTTTAAAGATGGTCAGTCTCACCACAGTGAATTAAGGAAAGAATGTTACGTTACAAAAGTAAACCTTCTTATTGAAATCATTTTTGGTCTTTCTGTACCACACACAGATATGAGCATCTATCAGAAGGCAATATACTCCAAAGCCTTGAGAAGATATCTCTAGCACTGCGATTCTAAAAAGCATTTAAAAAAGAGTATACCTCAGTTGCTTCATTCTGAAGTTCTTTTATAGTCTGTTTAAAGTTTGGTTCAATCTTCTTAGCTTTTTCAGCAGCTGTCTCCTTTTCTTCTTCATAGGCCATAGCAAGTATGCTCAAGAACAAACTTGCCATATAAAAAGCAAACCAAAAACTCACCACAACAAAAAATATCATGTAGACCTTTCCAGAAGCATACAGGATCTAAGGAGAGGTGGAAGATAGGCCAAAGAGGAAAATTTTTATTTATTTTCCTGTATTCTCCTATTTTCAAATGAAAAATAAAACCTCATTATGAAAATAATTTAGTCATAAGTGGAATGTACTCACAAGACAGTTTAAGTACTGGCTCTACCTACAGAAATATCTGAAAAGCTCTTCAACTTTAGTCGTATATATAATATATAAAATATATGCTACAAAACAAAGGGAAGAATTTACTAATTTAATTAATTTAGGGTGAGAATTTGACTTTTATGTTTTTGTTAATAGAGAAAATACATTGAAAGAAAAAATTATCATCTATCAATAAAGAAGCTGGACAGTCTCAACATGGAAAGTTACTTTCTTTGCAGTAGAATCTTTAAATATATGAAGTTTAATCAAGTCTGAGAATGTTTGGAGATTATTTTCTTCTGATTGTTACTTTGTGGAAAAACCACAAGGTGAAAAAATCAGGTTTATACAAGGAGAGGGAGTAGGAGTATTTCTTCACCTGTGAGAGTATCTATTTTAGTGAAAGAACCTTTAGACAAACCACATAGGAAAGCCACATCATTCATTTCTATGAAGTCATTACGGTAGGTGATATTTACAGATAGAAAAATTTTAAAATTTAGATTTCCAAACTAAGCACTGACTAGATTTTATTTCATAATTACCTGAGAACAGAAAATTAAAAAATTTAGGAAATTATAAATAGAGCATTACAAGTGCAAAACATTGTTCACTGATTTATCCTCATTGATTAGAAGTATATGAACAAGGGCCGGCCCGGTGGCGCACTGCTACAGTGCGCCGCTTCGGAGCGCGGAGGCGCTCCTGCTGAGGGTTCGGATCCCACATACAGACCGGTTCCCGCTCACTGGCTGAGCGAGGTGTGGGAGCAACACTGAGGGTTGCGATCCTGTTGCCTGTCCCGGTCCGGTACGGGCACGACACTGAGGGTTGTGATCCGTTGCCGGGCACAAAAAAGGACAAAAAAAAAAAAAAAAAAGAAGTATATGAACAAAATTCAAGAAAACAAATGGGAATAGTTTTAATTTTTAAACATCCATTCAAATCGGTAGAAAAGTATTATTTACAGAAAATATTGTGTGGGTACAACGGAGTCAAAAATATTTACAGATTAATAGGAAGTTCCAATATTCAGTCAGAAATAAGTTCTTACTAACCTTGAGTATATTTGTCTTTAAAAGTATTTTTTTGTTTTGCTGTTTTTTGGGAGCTGGCTGGTACAGGGATTGAACCCCAGACCTTGGTGTTTTCAGCACCATGCTCTAACCAACTAATCTAACTGGCCAGCCCTAAAAGTATTTTTAATGAGCCCTATTATTCCAGTGAAGTCAGCTGTTTAGCATTGGTTAACTATTTTTACTGCTGAACTAGCTGTTACTTATAGTACTACATTCAGCAGTTAAGAATAAGTATGGAGTACACTGCAGGCCATGCATATTTGGTAAATACATTTATTATCTCATTCCGTGCAATGCAACTGTGTAATATTTAATATGATTTCCAATATACAGAAGGGAAATGAAAATCAGACAGAGAAAGTAGCTCCCAAGATATCACAACTATGGGAGAATGTCTGAATCTAAAACTTTTGCTCTTTCCACTATATGATGCTAGTGGACGATAAAAGTATATATTCTTGTTAGCATAAAAAAGTGTATAAATTCTAGTTTTATTATCTTTTTTGTGTACATAGGTTTTTTTATGAAGATCAAATGAAATGATATATACATAAAGATCTTGGCACATGGCAGGTACACAATAAATACAGTGGTAAACATAACTCTGTTCCATGGGAGTTGACACTGTTTGGTTCATTTCTGTACCCATGGTATATCAAAGAGTATTTTGATTAAGTAAATACTTATTGAATTATTGGAAAATAATATGCTTCAAAACATGAGCTATACTCTTTGGAAATAATTGCTGGACTTCCTTAGCCATAATTAGTTTAGTTTAAGGCAATCCCGAGAGTACAAATCCAGACCAAGTCAAAGCAAATTCTATCTACGCTCGTTAATTAATACTTAGAGCACAATAATGATGAAGTCCTGAATGGACTCCAACGCCAGGACACTTTCAGACTACTTTCCCATTTCACTGGCAGAGGGAAAAAACTGGCTTTATTTATTCATTTTTTTTTTGGCGGTTGGCCATTATGGGATCTGAACCCTTAACCTTGGTGTTATACCACCGTGCTCTCACCAAGTGAGCTAACCAGCCAGCCCAAGGCAGCCTTTAAATCAATACTAACGAGAAAATTACCTAACACATTTTTGGGGCTATAAGAAAAAAAAAAAGGAAGACCTTATTAAGGTATAAAGTGATATGGTCCACACATATTCCCTTACATTTTTTGTTTATTAAATTTTCATTAGGCATTTCTATGTGTTAGAGGCTAAGAACACAAAAATTAAAATAAGTCAAAATACTTCTCAGTTTATCTCCTAGTGGGAGAAATAGCTGAGCAAGGAAATAAAATATCACTATCAGGGGAAATTATAGTGTACTGTGGGATTCCGGTGTTGGACGTGCCTTACTCTGAAAAGAGGGTTTTGAGGAAAAGCTCAAAGAAGAAATTCTGGCTTTGAGTCATGAGACTGAAGGCAGATAGAAGGAAACTTAAACTTAGGCAGAGTGTGGAAACAAGGAATATGGAACAGCAAGTCTTTTTTTTATACTCAAATAAAGCAGTGAGTATATATTGGCATATTGTTAGAAAATAAATCTGGAAAAGTATGCAGAGACTAGATCTTAAAGGGCATTGTGTATCATGTGTATGGACTTTGAACTTCATCCCATAAGAATTTGGAAAACACTGAAGGATTTTAAAAAGGAAGATAGCATAACAATATAAATACTAATCCAACAAATCTACAAAAATACAGTTTGCATAAAGAAAAAAAAGTCACTTGTAATACTTTCATATATTTCTTTTACCAAAAATACCATTGTACTACATGTATGTTCGGTCTACCTGGTTTCCATTTAACAATATATTATGAACTTTTGTCTATGTCCCAAATAAATTACATTATTCTATGATTATTAATGACCTGTATATGAACACACACACACTCCCCACAATATATCTAGTCAATCAAAATACATATGGTGTGTGTATGCATGCATGTTTTAAGAAATGATAATCTCCTTATCTATAGAGCAATTTATTTTTATTCAATATCTATTGATATTAGCTATGCTGTTTTGATAATAATATTGTATGTTCTTCTGTAATGAAACTTCTCTTCATAGATAAACGAAATTCCCATTTTAACGAGTATTATACCTTTCTGAGAATCTTTGGCACACACATAATTAGTTATAAAGACAGACTCAGAATGTGGATTTCAAATCTCATAAAAGCAAACCAACTGGAGCATGATTGAATATTAAAGTGGAATGAGAAAAAATAGAAGAATAACAAGAAATAGTATGTTGTACATATTCAATAAATAACTGTTTGATACATGGCAATCTTATAGGTTCAAAATATTTTGACTAAAGAATTAGTATCTAAAAATGCTCTTTACTTAGTTAATATCAAACGTGTAATATCACAGACTTTTGAACAGAACAGTTAGCTCCGGAAGGTTCACCTGTTCTAAATTTGGGGAGGTTATCCAACTTCTCTGAATTACAGTGTCTTCATATAAAAGATAAGTATATATAGATACACACACACACACACATACGCACACACATGCGTGTGCTTTTATATATATAAAGAGAGAGAGAGAGAGAGAGAGAGAGAGAAATTGTAAAATTCTTTCAAAGATTAAATAAGTAATCATGCACAAAAGCACAGACCTGGCACAGTGGCCAGCATATAGTTCAATATTCAATAATTCTGGTTCTCTTTTTTTTGTTCTCAGATTCTTCCCCACATAAAAATTTAATAAACAATATTACATCTGACCATTATTTTAGAAAGAAAGGCACGGTGCCATACTTAACTGTAGTGCAGATTTTCTTTCTTACCTGGTGATAAAGTGCTTCGGGGTAATCCTGAGTCATTAAACGAAATAGGGCCAATAAGGCCCAGCCAAAATTGTCAAAATTTGTGAAGCCGTAATTAGGATTTCTGCCAGCTTTTACACACACATATCCCTCAGGACACTGACTAAAGAAAACAAAAGAAAAACTTCTAACTGGTAAGTGACTTTCAGATTATGGGCAAATTATAAATACAGAACATCTGCCCGTGGATAGCAGAGGGACCCCTCTTCCACAGGGAGTAATCAGTTTTCTCCCAAACAACTTCTAAACAAAAAACTTCAAATAATTTAGCTTTTAAGTTGATACAAGTGAATAGTGTTAATTAAGCTAAAATCAAAAAGGGGCCTCACAAATGGTTTTGTCAAGGCTTTATTTTTTGTTCTTATTTTAAATTGATAAAACTGTTTATGTTTATTGTGTACAACATGGTATTTTGAAATATATACATTGTGGTATGTATACACAGTGGAATGGCTAAATTGAGCTAATTAACAAATAATTACCTCACATACTTATTTTTTTGTGGTGAGAACACTTAAAATCTACTGTCAGCAATTATCGGGAATACAATACATTGTTAGTAACTATAGTTTTACTACTACCCAGTATCAAAGGGGAAATATCTGAACTTCATATCGAAAGTATAACTGATGGAAAACAGTACTGATAAAAATAAAACCGTAGAAGTTGTGGGTTTAGTGTTCAGATAATCTTCCCTCAAACCTGTAGATTCCATTACTTAAGGGTGAGGAAACATTTATGATATCAATAATTTATAAGCAGTATTTGCACTTGGGGAGAAATATCAGATTAAATATTTATTTCATTACCTTTCAGGGAGTCCTCACACTTTTATCTACTGAGGGGCTTGGGTATTGTGGTGGATTATTGCAGTAGTGGCCCCAATAAAGCATGCTTCCCTTTGTCCAGGCCCTCCTGTAGTTCCCTCCCACATTACTCTGGGTTTGATCATGTGACTAGTTTTCGACATCATTAATGGAACAGGCAGAGGTTTAAAAGCACATGTGCGTTGGGGCTTGTTAAAGTGCTGACCCACAGAGTCTGAGCCAATGAATTCTTGTTGTTGTCTTGAGCTACTGACTTTTGGGGTGGTTCACCATGCAGCAAAGTATGCCTGCTACAGGTGGAACACTGCATGACTCTTTTTTTGAAATATATCATTTTGTTCTGAATATACATGACCTGATATCTTCAAAAGGCATTTCAGGTCATATCTGAGTTTGGAATGTACATAAAGAGGGTTAGCTGAAGTGGGATGGGGCAGAAACAAAGAGATGGGTTCACAATTTGGATTTGAGAATAGAAAGGAAGCCCAGCTGAAGCTGGGCAAAAAGATTTGTGCTGAGCAAGCGATAAAAGGTCTCAATCCCCTGAATTTAACTAAACTATGTAACTCATGCTCCTCTGCCCCATGTGCCTTTTGTCCATCTGGGCCCCAGAGCCTAAGAAAGAGCTGAGCCTACAAATGGGTGTCAAGTTATCCCAGCTGAGTAAATCAACACAGAGAAATTACATGAGTTGTACATTGCTGAGAAGCATGCTGTTTTTACTTTCTGAATTATAATTTCCATATGAAACTACTGAACAATAAGACATGAGAATTTCATCATCTCACCAAAGAATTATCTATAAACACTGTTTTTAAGAACAAGCTTTTTACTAATATAAATTATAGCCATAGAGACACACAAGACATAAAATAAGTAAAATAACAGTATGTCTTTAATATTTCTTATCTCCAAAAGCTTCTGGCCAAAGGACAGACTTACATTGTCTTTCTTGGTAATTCACACTAGTTCTGGGGCACATTGAAAACAGAAGATCAGATCTGGTTTAAATCCCAGCTATGCCATTAGGGAGCTTCCTGACCTTGAATAATCATTTAGCTAGTCTGCCTGTTTTGTTTTTTGTTTGTCCTGTAAAATTGGATTGATAGGATTTTATACTGCATGCTTCGGCTATTTTTTGAATGTTCATGTCTCCTCAAAATTTATATATTAAAATTATAACCCCCAATGGAACGGTATTAGGGGGTGGGGCCTTTGGTAGATGATTAGATCACGAGGGTGCTTAGTGCCCTTAGGGAAGAGGCCCTAGAGAGACCACTAGCCCCTTCTGCCATATCTTCACATGGCAAAAAGGCACCATCTATGAGCCAGAAGGTGGGCCTTCACCAGCACCATGATTTGGACTTCTCAGCCTTCCAGACTGTGGAAAATAAATTTCTGTAGTTTATAAACCACCCAGTCTACAGTATTTTGTTATAGCAGCTCAAAATTAAAAGATAATTTCTCAGCATGGTTTTGATGATAAAATGAAATAATGTAAGCAAATGGGAACCAGCAGTAAAAGCAATAATTGTTCAATAAGTACAATTGATGTGTGATACTGACTTGATACAAGAAAACATTAATATCACTTACCTAGCATCTGTTCTATTGCCACAAAGGAGAGCATCTCTTTCTCTTTCCAAATAGTAAAAACTTTCTGTTTCTGAAAAATTGGCAAGAAATGATATTCTATATGGAATCCTGTTTTAGAGTATCTGAAGTCTGTTCAGATCTTCACAGTAGATGAACAACCCTCTCTGCAGCTGAGAGGATAGGAGTAAATACCCTGGCCTTTTTTTAAACCTAGCATCTGATGGGCAAGCCAAAACGCCTTTGGGAATCCAGCTGTTTCACTGCCTTGAATACTATCCAGCTTAGCATAGAAAGAGGAAAATCCCTTTCAAAATTAAAGTTCAGGAAAATGAATAAAACCAGTCAGATATGCCAGATCTCTGAAGAGAAAATTACCAAGACTACATTGTTTGAAAGCTGAGGACTTTTTTTTCCCCATGGTTTATTCATTGATGATCTTCTAAGCAGAGAGCCAGATTCCTCTGTCTTTGGGTTTAATGTGCATTCTCTTTTCACCTCGAAGCTGATTCTTCTACATTGAGCATCCAGTGACAGTTTTACTTGCTCTAATGTCACCTAATTTTAATCACAACCCAAGCTAATCTAAGACATAGCCCCATAAAATTTATCCAGATATCCTAATATGCTGTCAACCCAAATATAATCAAAATGTAAATTGGGTACTTGTAGACATCAGGTGCCAGGGTTGGATATATACATGCTTATTAGGATTTTTTAGGTTCTGAATTCAAGTCACAGAGACCAAACCCATTATCTATGAGTGAATTGCTCCATTCTTAACTAATTTCGCTTGGTCACCTAAAATAAGTTTAGAAGAATTTTTAAGTCATAAATAGTTATGTACCATTGGTCAAACTTTTTTGAATGGCAGTCAAAAACCAAATAAAATTTGACAAACCTAGCACTGGGTGGTCCCAAGTATTCCTCAACATGCAATAATTATAACCTGGCAATTAGGTTAAAAAATGTTTTACAAACATAATATTTTTAGCAATTCCTAACATGTTATTTGAGGAAACGGAATAACTAGAACTGAACAAATTTTCAAGTGGTAATCTTTAAAAGCGATTTCTTGATAGTATATCATACATTAAACAAAGATGAAAAAGACCTGGTCTTTCTTCCTAATAAACAGTGAAGTAACAAATTTGTTTATTTTTCAAGCAATTAGCATATTTTTGCTAAACAACATCAAAGAAACCAAAGCATATTTAATTGGAACCTAAGATTTAACATCTATCTCCTCTAGTCCTCACCACTAAGTTTAGAAGCACGACATATACATATAAGAAAACATTTCACATACTCATTTACTAATAATTCTGTATTATCTGCATCATAATCATATTATGTAATAAACCAAAAAGTAAAATGTCTTGATTTGTTTTTAAACTTATTAAATACAAAACATAAAATTAATATAGAATGACTGCAGATAATTAATCAATACTTTATTTTTGATAGTTGAAAAATATGCTTTTATTTTTTCTTAATACTGTCAGAAAGGACCAGATAATTTTAATGTGAGAGAAAAATCCAGTAAGAGAATATGGCCCTGTGAAAGAGAATGGGTTTTAAAGCCAGACTGAGCTTGGTTAGAATCCCAGTTTATTGCCTAGTAGTTATAGTACCCTAGAACATTCACTTAATTTCTCTGAACTTCCATTTCTTTGTTTGTAACAGGGTAGAAGTTACTAATGCCTCTTCTAAAGGATTATGGTGAAGCTATTGGATAAGGCACGTAAACTACTTATGTATAAGAGCTAAGCAATGCTTATTCTACATTATTATTTTATTGAAATATTTTTATTATTTAACAAGGTATAACTCAAAGCATTTAAAATGAGCAGCAGTAATTGAAATCCAATAATAGTACGAGTTTCTATAACATAGACCATTGTTTTACTTTTAAGTTCATCTCTAAATTTTTATTAGTTAACTTAACGTTTATACTTTAAATAAAGTACTATTGAAGAAAAGTAATAATATGAGGATCCTACTTTAAGGTCTTTCTGATGAAATTTCAAATTTTGTATTTTTTTAAAAATAAAATCTGCAAAATTTAGGTTTCCCTGATTTAACTCTCTGTAGATTGGGAACTTCGCTATCTTGATAAATGAAACTGACCCAAATTAGTACTTGAGCATAGTTATAGCATTTACATAATTTGTTCTATAATAGTTATATTATTTACATAGTTGCTCTTCAACATTTCTGTGAAGACTGCTCTGCTATTGAGAAAAATCTTAATGCTTGATATAGATGGCAAGTGATTTTTACCTCGAATATAATATGGGTTTCCAGTTCTGTTGTGCAGAGTTTCATTTTCATTTTCTTGGGGCCATCTCAAACATTTGTGCTTCAGGTTTCCCATGAAGAGCCCCATTCCAGTTGCAGAAAATACACTCAGAAAAACCAGAGTTAGGATAATGACACCAGTAAGTTTCTTCAAGCAATGGATCAGGACCCCTACAAGAGACTTCAGACCTGAAAAGAAAAAGGTTTGTTTTTGACAGAAGAAAATATCCTAGTAAAAAAGCATTAGCAAACCTCTCCCGTAGCAAATGCGTACTCCATTGAAATCAGCAGCTTTGTGTCTTACAATCTAATTCTTTGAGGTTTCTTTATTATTTATTGAGGTTTCTTTATTATTGCTAATTTATGACACCTGACAAAATAATTCAGACACAGTACTGAAAATTAGTTGTTTGTTTCTCTTTACTACATAAAGAATAACAACCTTTCTCTCTTGGTTACTGATGGTGTTTATGAACAGTGTTTATGAACTTAAGTAAAGGTGTAAAGTTATAAATCAAAATGAGTTAGAATTGTTGATACAAGAAAAAGTTTGAAATAGCAGTATTACATACTAAACTTTAATTAACGTATAAGAATTCCACTTGGGGAGCTGATTAAATAAAACTTGTAAAAAATTTTAATGATTGAAATGTGAACAACACAACTGTGATGTATGTAAACTGTATTTATATTAGAAAACTTACTAATCAAAAATTCAAACTTAAAGCTGGCTTTATTTAAGGACTTTTATTTTTCTAATTATTAAATACTACATGGCAAATTCTGAAAATAAAGAAATAAAAAAGAAACAAAAACCAAAAATAATGTAATTGTATCTCAGAGTTGAAACTACTATCATTTCGATGAATAAATTAATTTCCTTCCTCTCTTCTCTCCTTTTTTCTTTCTCTTATTCTCTCTTCTAATTTGTTGATCTGTGTGTATTTAGGTTACTAACAACTGCTCAGCTCAAGGAATGAGAGTCCACTAGCTCTGTGATGTTGAACAAGTTGTCAACATTTCTGTGCCTCAGTTCTATTACCTTTAAAATTGGGATAATAATACCTATTTTATATATTATTGTGAAAATTGAAAATCTCTTATTTTTAATGATCTCAGATGATTAGATTTCTTGAGTGAAATGGGATAGGGTTGAAATAAAGTCATGTGACTAAAGAAATGTGATAATTTGTATTAATTATACAATTTTAATTATATATATTTAACATACATACTGAATATTCAATTTTAAATTTAAATTTAAATTAAGTTGAATATTTAAATTTAATTTTTAATTTAAAATATTCAATTTTATTTACTATTAACATATGAACTGAAATATATATTTATAGCCTACTTTTGCCACTTACAATTATACCATTTTTACTATAAGCACATCTTTTCAAGTATATTATATTAGAAATGGAATTTTTTATCAAAATGACTACGTTAAAGTGTTGATACACATGTTCAAAAATGTTTTTAAGAGACATTAAATCAACGTATAAACCAGACTAAGTATATAATAAGCCCTAAAGCCCTCACAAAAACTGGAACATTCAAAAAACAAACAAACAAAAAAACAAAAAAAAATGTTGCTGTCAATGTATTTATTAGAAGAGAAATATGATTAATGTATTTTTTTGTGGTTACCATTACAAACTTTAACAGTATGTATACCTGCACTGTGTACTTCTTATTTGGTAGCAGTCACAAATCCTCTGTATATCTTTACATTGAAAAACTGTTTTATATTGTTTTGTTAAAATTATTTTTAAGAGCAAGTCTTAAATAAGAATGTATATGTTTGTGTACTTATATATCTCTATTGTATTCCCAGTTTCTTGTGGAGCTTTAATTTTAGCAGGTGAAATTTTATTTGAAGGTAAAAAAATTCACTATCAAATTTGTACAGAATTAAATTTATTAAAATTTTTTATTATTATTTTCCATGCAGTTTATTGTTAGAAAGGCCTGCGCCATATGCCAATTTTGATTTTGATTTTCTGGTAGAAATTTCCCCTTTTTACTTTTAAACTTTCATTTTGTTTAATTTAGGTATGTCGCTTGAAGAGTTTAATTTTATTTCTGATTTAATGTTAAAGTCTCTACCTCTTGACAGAAAAAATTTAACCCATTGAATTTATTTTCATAAATTAGCTTTACTTTTGGAGATAGCTTTACCATTATGTTTCTTGATTTCTATATTCTCCTTATGATTTACTGCATTTCCTATCCTTTTAAAATAAACTTCAGTTTTTTCCTGTTTTTCCTCTAGTAATTTAGATGAAATATATCTGTTTTGAGAGCTTATATCAAGTTTAAGTTCTTATTTTGAACCAACATGTAAATCTCTATATCAAAAATAAGACTAATTTACTCTAGTCCCAACATAAAAGGAAATAATCATATTTACTTTCTCACATTTCTGTATTTCCACTTCTTACTTTTTTGTTAATATAATTTAGGTCTTTTGATGTTATAATTATTGTAGTTATAATTATTGAATTACGAAGTATTTTGCATTATATATTATCATTCATGATTTATGAGAAGGGTAACATTCAAGTCCTTAGAAGGGCTCGTCAGGAAGCATAAGTTCGTGCAAGTAGAGAGTAGAGGGAATTGGATGACTGTGCTTGACTTAAAGGTGCAGCTGCTCCACTACGGCAGGTTGTTGCTATTCATGTATGCAGGTGGATCTATGCTGACAATTCATCCAAGTTAATTTAGATTTTAATGCAAAATCACCAGATTTTTATAAGTTGGCATTTATTTTAAAGTTTTCTAAAACAAAACCAAAATATATCTTTAGCTCAAGAATGACCCACAGATGTTCTTGTGGTAACTTTTGACTAATAATATTTGCATTCTGTTTTGCAGCCAAGTAAACAACAGTAATTTGTAATCATTTTCTGTTGAAATGGTTTCAGAGATCATTGTGATTACTTTGGGAACTAAATGTTATCATTGTTCAATATTTTATTTTCATACTCTTTTTAGTAGATATTCAGGAAAGATACACATATAATAAAATTTCAGAGTCTTGCATGGCTGAGAATATATTTCTGTTGACTTTACGTACGAATGACAGGTATAGAATTCTAGTGCCACATCCTCTCTGTCTACACTCTCCCCAAGCTCTGAAACTTTGTTACCTACTCACGTTTAATATTATCAGGAGGTCTGATGATAATCTTTCCATAGTATCTATTTCTCTGCTTTTTTGCTTATAATGTATTTACAATACTTCTTTAATACTTTAAATTTATAAAATTTAATAATATGTCTAGGTGTACCTTAGATTTTTATTTTTTCCTTTTTGTCTTTTTTCGTGACCGGCAACGGATCGCAACCCTCAGTGTCGTGCCCGTACCGGACTGGGACCGGCCACGGGATCGCAACCCTCGGTGCTGCTCCCGCCCCTCGCTCAGCCAGTGAGCGGGAACCGGTCTGCATGTGGGATCCGAACCCTTGGGCGGGAGCGCCGCCGCGCTTCCCAAGTGGCGCACTGCGCCACCGGGCGGGCCCCGTACCTTAGATTTTTTTAGTTATTTTTTGTCCAGTGTAAGATGACCCCTTTCCATTTGCTGGCTTTCATTAGTTAAGAAATTTTTTAAAAATTCTAGTGTATTTTTGAATAATTTGTCTTTTACATTTATTCTGATCTCTTTTTCAGGATCACCAATTATTTATAAGATGAAATTTAGTTTTCTATCCTTCATTAATTCTTCCCACTTTTGTCTCTACTGCTCATTAGAAGGTGAACAAAACCAATGCCATTTTGTGCCCCATCTGCCATGTTTCCTCCCGAGTAACCTCACTGACTAGTTACACCTTAACATTTGGGCAAGCTGTAAAAGAAACAGGTTTCAGGGAGTGAATGATTCATTACGGTAGGTGGTGTCAGTGGTCTAAGCACTAAAATCACAAGACCTTTTGCCACAAAGATCACAAATTACCTGGTGAATGATGTTACTACCTTATTTTTCTTAAGATGTTTCCATTTAAGTTATTCTTAGTAACAGGGGCTTTGGCTGTATAAACATTGACTTATCTGCAGGGAGAGCTCTCATCTGTTGATATCTGATTCTTCACTATGTCCAGCTTTCTTGTTTATTAGTCACAGGATTAATAAATATATGATTACCGAATGGACTTTGCTTCCTTCTTTAGTCTCAAAGTACCTTCCCAATTTAGAGGGCATTATACTTTAACTCCCTCCTCACACACTGCATTAGTACAGAACTCCTTTAGTCTTTCTTTATGCAAGTGTGTTTGTTGGATGCACTAAAAATACCATTTTTATTGTTTCTATTACGATTGAATATTCACCTGGGGTATTATAATTTTATCATATTTTTGTCTTAAAGTTATTTGTATTGGCCTATTTTATAATCTCATTTTCATTTTCTGCTTGAGAGAGTCTAGGATTCCTTCTACTGGGACATCAAAACTGATGATTTCTTACACTTCCTTCTATTCCTTAAGTGTACGTGCGCATGCGCGCGCGCACACACACACACACACACACACACACACATTTAAAAGGACTACTTTCTTTCCCTTAAATAGTGTATTTCTCTTTCTGCACTGCTAAATGTTTTTATACACTCCATATAACTAGTATGTACCTTGTTTATTCTCCCTTAAAAAAAGAGTGAAAGGTTCCTACCAGCCTATGTGCTCCCAGCTCTAGTGAGTATACTCTTGTATTAACTTTAATTCACCTGACTTCTGTTATAATCCTTACCTCTGATCCTAAGATGAAGATGCAGGTGATGAAATTTTATGTTCTAGTATTATTCAGGGAGCACTAGGGAGCTAGAGCTGTGGAAATTGCCACCAGGGTAACTCTCACTGTGAGGTTTCTTCACTTGATTTGGTAAAGCTGCCATGCCACAGACCATTTTTATTAAACACCTTTATTGAGATGTAACTCATAAACCTTACAAGTCACTGGTTTGATGTGTACAATTCAATGTTTCCTGGACTTCAAGTGCATAATATGCATGTGTCTGGCCTTCATTGCCTTCCAGTCCCCCAAATTTGCCTGTAGACCTTATTTTTGGTATTATTACATTTGCCCTTGAGTTTCTTAATACAACTATTTAATAGTACTTCTGACTCAGCAGCCAAAACACTCTGAGCGGAGTTGTTCCTATCTGACTGTTTTTATTCATTCAGAACAATAAATTAGAAGGTGTTGGTGGGCTTCTGTTGGGATATCCCCTGGAATGGGATCTGTAAATTAGTCCTCAGCATCTTCCATCAATATGGTTCACAGCTCTACCTTATTTAGCAGAACTTCCTTGAACATTTTGGTACATGGATTGTACCCTATCCAAGCACTCAGAACAAAGGGGAATTTATTTTATTTTGTATTATTTTGTTCATTTTCACTAGTTTCTCAACACATGAGGAAAAGAATAAGGCACATTAGAGTTTGTCCAGACTGCTGTCTCTTTCAGAAGTCTAAGGACAATTTTATAAGTTCATATTTAAAACATATGAATTAAAAATTAAAAATAAAAATGTTTGATTGGTCTCTATACTATGATATTGTAAGTACTGAACCACACCAAATAAATAGCAGTCAAATGTAATTTTTTTTCCTCACCCTTCCTGAAGTGAGAAGTAAATTTAAAGATCAGATTAACTCATTGGTTTCAAAGTGGAAACATTGTTCAATTTAACATTTTGTCTGAGCAATAACAGAGGAGTTGAAATGAATACAAGGCAGTACATAAAACAAAATGAGGAAAAGGAAAGACATTTCTTACCTTGGTTTAAAGGAATAATTTTCAAAATTCTCAAAGTTCTTGCAGTTTGAAGCCTTAGCATGTAGTTTAGAGGTGAATATCTTGTTATAAGCCTGTGAAATTAATTAGAGTTATTTAGAAGTCATACTTATCTTTGGCTTTTTACACTTTTTGAAACTTATTTTTAAAACTGTATTTCCAAACATTTCCTTTTCTCAGATTATTCTGTTTTGAAAATAGTTTTATTATTGATTAGAAGACAAGGATGGCACAGTGCTAGGTGGCCATGTAAATATTAATCTACAAACTTAAATTATGAGAGTTCACAAAATCTCGACTCTTAACTCCATATAAAATTTTCTATATTATCTTCATTACTATTTTGTCTAATTACTGAAAATATAGTTAAAATAAAAATTAATATTTTAAGAATGAGATTCATTTTAAGTATTTAAATTGATGATGACGATGATGATGGTGATGATGACAGCGATATGAATGGTGATGATAGTAGAAGGCAGGTTGTTAAGCATACAGACTCTGGAGAAAGACTGTTGCAATCCATGCTCTACCATTAACTAGCTGTGTGACATGGACAAATTACTTAATCTTTCTTGCTTTAGTGTCCTCAATTGTAAAGTGGGGTTAATAATACTACCTGATCCAGAGGCTTTTTGTGGGAATTAAATGAGTTAATATATGCAAAGTGCATAGAAGAAAAGCACCTGGCACATAGTAAGGACTTTCTAAGTGTTAGCTAAGTTAGCTAAGTGTTAGTTACCAGCAACAGCAACAACAGCAGACATAATGGTAGTAACAGCAGAAGTAGTAATAATAATAATTACAATGATGTTAGCTACTATTTTTGATTGATTACAACATGCCAGACACTGCTAATGCTCTTTATAAGGTTATTTTAAAAAATAATTTACCAAAAATCTACAAATAGAATATCATTTTTTTTTTTCCTTTTTGTCTTTTTTCGTGTCTGGCAACGGATCACAACCCTCAGTGTCGCGCCCGTACTGGACCGGGACCGGCAACGGGATCGCAAGCCTCGGTGTTGTGCCCGCACCTCGCTCAGCCAGTGAGCGGGAACCGGTCTGTATGTGGGATCCGAACCCTTGGCGGCAGCGCCGCCGCGCTCTCAAGCGGCACATTGTAGCAGTGCGCCACTGGGCCGGCCCCCCGTGTTTCTTTATAAATTACCCAGTTTTTTTTCCTTTTTGTCTTTTTTCGTGTCTGGCAACGGATCACAACCCTCAGTGTCGCGCCCGTACTGGACCGGGACCGGCAACGGGATCGCAAGCCTCGGTGTTGTGCCCGCACCTCGCTCAGCCAGTGAGCGGGAACCGGTCTGTATGTGGGATCCGAACCCTTGGCGGGAGCGCCGCCACACTCCCAAGCGGCACACTGTAGCAGTGCGCCACCGGGCCGGCCCCGAAATAGAATATCATTTAAAATTAGTTTAACAGGAGTTTGACGCCAGTGATTATTTATATAGCTTTAAAATAGAATACAATACACTAAACAGAAGCACTGAAAAAAATAGACATGAAATCATTAGTATGTAAAATAATGTGAGTGTGTATGTGTGTGTGTTTAAAATACCTTATTCTTTTCTGGTCTTAAGCAATGTAGCTAAATGAAATGTAGATTGAGGACTGAGAATCAAATATGTTAGGAGCTTTTTGTAAGTATTCAGGGAATTCTCTGCTCACTGAAAAAAAGTAACTATATGCACAAATTCAATCTTGCTCCAGAGAGAAAACAGAAAAGATCCATTCCTCTCATTTTCATCATGTATTGTGAGGAATGGCTCAGAGAGAGCTGCCTGAGAGAATTCATTATGACTACGACTTATTCTTTACTATCAGAATATTTGCAGGCAGAAATATTTGTAGACCTCAGCTATTTTTTATGAAAAGCATTTACTTAGCAAAACATTAAGATGTTTGCAATTTAAAGAAATACTCACTCAAAGAAAGTTACACTGAAATCAAGCCAGTTCCATGGATCAGCAAGGAAAGAAAAAGATCCTGACCAGATGCCTCTTGCAAAGAGTTTTACAAGTATTTCAAATGTGTAAATTCCAAGCAAAGTATTCCTGCAGAAAATTTTTTATATCAATATTAAAGGTGAGAATAATACATTGTCGACTCTGAAACACTGTGTTTAAGATAATAATTTTGTATTTGAGAATAAGTCATCAGAAAGCTGAGACTGGATCTGCTTGGTAGGCTAAAACCAACTAGCCACCAACCAAACAGGCAACAATAAGAAATGTAAGTGGTCTCTGAATCTTGGCATAGGGTTTTAGATAGGGCTTCTAGCATGGGCTATGTCTTATAGCATTAGCCATAAAATTTGACTATCAACTTTTTTCAGTAAGTCCTAGCTCAGAGGTGATAGTCTTTATCTATTATGCAGGTAAATAATGAAAACATCAAATATCAAATTTACTCCACATAGGAATTATACAATAATTAACTTAATAATTAGGGAGTGTGTAAGAGCTAATTTTATTATATACATACACAAGGATTTTTATGGTGAATCAGTATTATAGTTATCTTCCAAAGTCAACTAGTTTTAAGAACAGAGTTAAAGCTCAGGAAGTAACTTCAAGAAAGGCTTCTTCCCTAGAAAATTTAGCGGGCTTTTCCATCACTGTAGTCTAAAGCAAGTGGGACTACTCACATCGGTTAGAAAAGAGAAGAGAACTAGAACAGAAAGAAAGACAAAATAAAAACTTCCTTAATGAATATAAAGGAATAAAAATTATCTGAGAAGCAAATCAGCTATGGGTTCCAATAGCAAAAAAAACCCCGAGGGACTAAAATATATTAATCATTAATAATTAACTTTGAAATAAAATCCCACTTGTATGATACCAAAGATATAGAAATACAGCTAAAGACTCAAACATTTATATTATGTTAACCTAATATGTTAGGAAATTGAGGTATTTAAAATCTAACTAAGAACAATGAAAGGGCATAAAAACCACAAAACTGATGAACTGACATATATTTGTTTTCACTTGCAAAATGTATTCATTGCGGTCTATGTATAAACATTACAATGTATACCATAAATACAATATAAAGTATAAATATTAAGTTGTGCAACATTATATGGTATATTATGTGATTAATATATTACATTAAAATATTAAAAATAAAATATAATCATATATTATATTATGTACAATATAATTATATAACTTACTCTACTGCTGGTCCCCATTTTGGCAAATTATTCATTGTCATAAACATGCAATCAGTCAGGACACTAATTAAAATTAACAGTCGAAAATAGGTAGGTAACAGTCAAGGAATAATGGATAATAAATAACATTGGAAAAAGTATGTTTCTATAATATGTTTATATTTATATATACACTTCAGATAAAATATTTCATTATATGTTGAAAAACATTAATTTCAAACAAGCAAATGGAAAGGACATTCTTGGGGGGGAGGGGAGAGAGGGAGGAGGGAGGGAGGTGTCGGTGATGGGACATAATAATCATATACATTGTAAATTGACAAAATAAAAATTTAATGGAAAAAAATAAAAATAAAAAATAAAACCTGTAAAAAAAAGAAAAACATTAATTTCATTGAACAATGTGGATTAATATTTGTTAATATTTACTACTGTTGTATGTATTAGAAATATTTTTTATACGAATTTTCAAATATGGAACACTTATTGGAGTACAATTCAGATCTGAATGTGATCTAACTTAATGTGATCTAACTTGAGATATTAATTCAAAAGAAAAAAAACACTGCAGTGATATGTGAAGAATAGAGCAGTTGCATTTTGTGTTAGTACAGTTTAAAGCACACATGTACTCACTCATATGTGGGAGCTAAGAGAGAAAGAAGGAAGGAAAGAAAGACCACAGTAGTGCATTGGTCTTGCAGAGGGAGAGAACATTCCTTGGGCTACGAAGTGGAGTGGGGGGGAATGGGGGAGGGGGAGGGGATTGGAGGTGGGTATAATTGGGTTAGGGACACAGGGTACAAAAGCAATTTCTGGTGGTGGGTGTGCTGCCGGTATGAACCCGGCCCTCCCATCACGCCACGAGGGGTGACAATCAGCATTGTATCTCATGAATATTCGTAATAAAATAAATAAAGCACAGTCAACAAGACAATAGAAAAGGATATGGATGTACCAAAACCTTGATAGTTGTTCCTCTAATAGGACTGAAAGGAGACAATGTACACAAGATGGAGGTGGCGTTGAATCTGAAGATTGTTCTGTTGTTATTTAATACCATGAAAGTCTGTAAGAAAAATAATCAAGTGAGATTAGAACTCAGAACTACAATGTAATCAATTATGAAACATATTGTCAATAATCATTACAGTCTTGGATTCTAACAGTTACACATTTCTTCGTTTTGATTTTTCTTATTGACTAAGCCAAACGGAAAGATTTTTAAACTATTTTCATTTATTTTTAGTCCTATCTGCTTATATACCACTTTTGTTTTGTTTTGTTTTGCTAGTGTTATAACCAAGAATTTATTTGCCACATACCACATCTTCAAGTCTCCCCACAGAATTAATGTGTAATAGGAAGAGCACTATATCCTGGTGGCTCATGCAGATGCATTTGAAAGTACCAGAGGTGGTACATCTCAGAATGTAATAAGTGTAAAAATAATAAAAGTTATTTCAGAGCAAATCAAATGTGGGATTGCAAAAGTAAAAAAGATCCAGTGCATTGAAATATTAGAGAAATCATTGAAAATTACCTATGAAAGAAAACCCAACTTGTTTGAAATCATTAATATAAGCATATGTAAACCAGAAATTTATATCATGTAAACATAACATGTTAGAATATGGAAGCATTAAAATTCTAACAGAAAAATTCTGAAATCAAAAATCAAGTCATATATCTGTATACATGTGTGTTTATGCATATGTATGTGTGTGAATAGATATATATGTATATGAATAAGTGTGTATATTATTATATTTGTTTAGGTATATATATTCAGTGAAAGTAAATATATACACTCACTTTATATAGTTATTTGGAAAATTATTCATTGTAGGGTATGCATAAGTATATTATATATAATTATTTTATAGATTATGATATAAATAGTACACTTTATAATAGAATACAGAGTATATAATGTAATGAGATACAATATATTATAGCATTCTAAAACGATATTTTTAATATTTATATATATATGTATGTAATATATGTGTATAATATACAAATATAAATATTTGTATAATTGTATAATTATACAGAGGTGACTATTTACTGGTATTTATACTTGTGTGTGTGAATATATATATATATATATATAGAAAATATATTACTTAATACAAATATTTATTAACCAACATTTTATAAATATTGGTTGTATATAAACACAAAACTGCAATAATTCTCTTTAATAAAACACATTTTCAACATACAGTCTATGAACACTTTGGCCTGTATTGTAGTTATTTTCATTATTTCCATTTAAAATACAAAGAGAAAATAAGAATTAAAAAGAGCCAAAGAAAATAAATGGAATTATTTAAATTTACTTTCCACACTATTTTCCAGAACAATCTCAAACTTCACACAAGATGTTATGTATGTGTAATCAACCAATTTATATATCATTGTGAAGGAAAGAATAATTCCATATACAATGCTTTCCCACTTTTAAGTGGTAAAATGGTTTTATTAATTTTATAATTATTTATTTCTATGCCGTCTGTAACAGAATTACTGAATACAACTCAAATGTTTAAATAACATGGTGTCTTTGATAACAGCACTTTTATACTAAGCTATCTTGCAGTTTGTTTCATGGTGTTTCATGGGAACTGGACCATGAGTAAAGCTGGGCCTTGATTTAGTTTTCAAAATCCTTGCTTTTGTCTTCAATAAATAACCTAGCTTTGCCTACCCTGTCTATATATACTACAGAGCACTTAGAACTCTGCTATATTACAGCTGCCCCTAATGTTACTGTGCCATAACAATTATTATGGCGTAATCACAGCAAAAACTGAAGGCAGAGGCAATTGACATGAGGACACAACTTGGAACTCAGCTAGTTTCCAGTTACAACATCACTGTTTTTCCCCTGTTCCAGAATCAATCTCCACTCTTGCCTGTTCATAGAAGGTTTTCCCCTTACCTTATTAAAATTTGAAGCATTCTTCAAGCTATAACAAATTCTTTCTTAATGAAGACTCTTTCAGCTTTATTGGTCCACACAGATCTCTGACTTTTCTAACATAATTACTCTCATATTTAGCATTCTGTGTTTGTTCTGAGATTCTACTTACATTAGGATGTCTCACATCATTATGGAGATAAGGTGTGAATGTATGAATGTATAAATGAATAAAAATGATAAATATCACACAGGTTGGATTTACTTTTCTAACTTTTGAGTAAGTTTATCAAGTTGAACATTTTAAATCATTCTGCATATTCTAGACATTTTACAGGTCCTTTAAAATTGATAATCATAAATGGCCAATCAGCATGCTCCTGTAAAGCAAGTCATCTACAATAAGTCATATCAGTACCTATATTAAAAAGAAAAGTAACACAAAACAAACTACCCAACCATGTAAGAGATAGTTTTGAAAAAAAAATGAAATATCTTCTGCAGTCCAATTAGCTCTTGCCCTGTTCTTCATTCTTTTCTTGTGTCCTGTCTAGACAAATTATAGTTTTTGCATGACTAGAAATAAAATAATAAAAACGTAGTAACAATAATTTCAATTAATTCTCACATTTTTTTTCTTGTAGTAGTATGGGTCCACATCTTCCAAGGGCTCTGACACCATTCCTCGAGAAAGTTTTCCATAAATAATTGGAAGCTCTTTGCCAACTTCCAAGTCAATGTTTGGCTTTAAATCTTCTTCGTCAGGTTCCTCATTGTGTTTTTTAGCAATACGCTGTTTTATAAGCTCAAAAGACTCTCTGGTGAAGGGGACAAGGCCCTTAGGTTCTGGGGAAGTTGACATTTCCGATTTTACACCTGTAAGAAATTAATTTTCCTCAGTTCTATATAACAGCTCAGTATGCGAAGAAAAACTTACAGAAAGTTAGGATGTGAAAAATAGAGACCAGCAAACTGAATATGTGCATTTAAAGAACACAATCCTGAGTTTGTAGAGATCTAGGTTGTTCTGAGTTTTATCTAGGTTGTTCTGAGTTTTATTAAGTCTTAATCTAAGACTTAATTTGTAATTTCATGAGTAATTCAATCTGCTTTATTCACTCATGTCTTGAACACTCTTTCTGAAATCTGCCTTTCAACTTCTCCACTCTAACAATAGAGTTCTAAGGCTGCTACAGATCTTTTTATTTTTTTTTCTGGCCAAGTCCAATTATTTCACTATGAGCTATGTTTAACAATAGTTAATTGTTAAAATCTACTTAGATTTTTTTTTCCCTAAACTTAATCATCATTGGCTTTGGGCCCCATGCTTCTGTATCTTTTCATAACTCTGATTACTTTCCTAGACTCACTGTTAGTATAGGTCAGAATTTAACCCAAATTTTAACTCTGATATCCCTTAAAGTTCTGTCTTCCTTCTCTGATATATCTATCTTTCTGATGAATGAATGGGCAAAAACAGTTTTAATTACTCTATGCATATAAATATTTGCCAAGTACCTTTCCCAAAACACTTTCTTCACCCTGCTGTCTATGTGGTAATTTAACAAATGGCAGCAACTTAACAGTTAAAAACAAAGTTCATTGTCTCTCCTTATGCCTAGAATCATTCTTTAACCTCTGAACTACTGTAAAAACAAAAACACAAACTCATTACCTTGAAAATTACTCATAACATTTTTTTTCTGTCATCAGCCCCTCTACACAAAATAATTTTCTGTCAACAATTTTCCATTATGTATCTTGAATGCTATCTACTTATATATCCACTTGAAGGTAGTCATCTTTGTAATTCTATAGTTAGGATGCTCTAGTAGTCTTCACGTTTCAACTCTAGTTTTTACCTATTTCAGGTCATCTTCAGGCCACTCACAATAATGGTCATCAAATATAACTTTATTCATCAATTCCTCATTCATAAACCTTTTTCTTTTGCCACATATACAAATATGTTCTTTCTTTGCTGATTTGTTTCAATACAATTCCTGTCAAAATTTACCCTTCAGGTAATCCTACTCAGTGTCAACTGATTTACCTTTATTTGTTTGTTGAAACCCTCTTTGTAATTTTATTATTGCATTTAGGGATAAGAAATTTTGTACTTGATATTGTGGCATTTTTTTAATTGCATGTTTTCTCTCACAGTGCTTATAGAATTCCTTCTAGAATTCCACACATGTGTTCTACCTCAGGATTTTCTGTTGTGCAAAATTGAATTGTGTAATACTTTCATACATTACTTGCCTATTTATTAAAGTAAGAAAAACATAGGTCAGTTAGTATTAAGGAGGAACCATCATTGTAAGAATCAGACTTCTACTGATAGTTTGAGTAATTGGTGGGTGGGGGATTATTTTAAATATACAAAAGACAATCTCATCAACCTCCAAGGCAAAAATGCAGTGCATTTCTGTGCCATAAATGTACTATGGAAAATAAAAATGGTAAAGAAAAATGCAAGATCAAGTACTGGGATAAGACTACTTATGCCATTCACAGGATCACAAGTTTTCTGGCTTTTCAGATCTGCTGCATTCTACCTGGCAAATGGCTTCTTTTGCTTACATCTAAATTGCCCATAGGCCAAAAATATTATTGCAGCCTTAACTTTATTTGATTTTTCAGTTTAAGTTCCCACTGTGTGCTTACAAACTATGTATCAAAAAAGGTCAATAGGAAGACACTCCAATTGGCCCAGCCTAGCCTATGGATTCATTTGTCCCTGGTTCAGTCATTTATGGCCAGAGAGAGGGATATTTTCAGAAAAGCAATGGCTGCTTGTTATGCACAAGTCCTTCAAGAGATGTTTCAGGGTTAGGGTACAAAACAATTTTAAAGAGAGAAATGTGGACTAGGAAGATTAGCATATGTTTACTTGGGCTCTCTTTCCAGACTAATGGCATAAAAACTTGTAATTGTTTATCTTAAAGCTTGCTTATTTCCAAATATCTTACTCAACAACATGCACAAAACAGATGCATATTAAAAGTTCCCTAAGGATTATTCATATACACAATATGTACACACATGCAAACATGCATATGGTAATACCTTGTATATTAAACTTTATTGAGGCAAGCCAAGATGCTTTTAATAAGTATAATTTATAAGTATTAGCTACAGATAACTGAAATTTTCTCTTACATATGAAATTTTTTCCTTTAAAATATTTAATGAGACTTTCAAACTTATATTCCTTACACAGAGATCTTTGGAGATATATTAGTTTCTTAATGACTCATAGTTACCATTATAAACATTAATTTTTATATTATGACATAATATAGCAATACTTCCAAAGGCAACTACTGAATGATACCCGTTACGCTTTTAGAATTCTTCTGTGTCTTGCCTTGGCAGTCAGCTGCGACTTGAAACTGTCTTGTTATTTTAAATCTGCATTTTGTAGAAAGTGAAGAGCCAAATTTTCTGTGTGAAGAACTAAAGGTAGTTTGACCTCCTCAAAAAAAAAAACACATGGGCTTTATGACAATTACTGACTGCACGGGGACTTTTTTCTTTTTACATGAACCAACTCTATTCATGTTTTATTTCATCACCACAGGTTTTGATTATTCAATAAGAAAAATAAAGTAAAAATATATATTTGGACTACAGTAAGTCAATTTATAAAATGTCTCATAATATGAAAAAATATGTGATGGATAATATAATAAGATAGGTCTGTAAGAGCTCAGTGTCTTTGTCCTAATGCTGTTGACCTTTGGACACACCCAAGTTTCTCTGCATTCTAAAAAGCTTATTCAACATATGAACAGTGTAGGTCATGGTGAAGGAATAGCCTAGTAGAAACAAATAAAACAAATAAAATTGTGAACTTTGAAAATTATGTAGACCTACATTCAAATCCGAAATTCTATTACTACTGTTCTGAGAGACCTCTGTTGATCTACTTAATGTCCTTGAACCTGTTTTCTCAGTCATGAAAATGGGATTCCTCCTTAGCTTAAATAAAGGGTAAAGTAAAATAGTATGGATGAAATTGACTAGTAAAATGACTGGCAAATAACAGGTGGGAAATAAATACAAATTTCTAATTGTAATAAATTTGACATCTTAGAATGGTAGGCCAAATCTCATAGAATAATACATAACAGGAATGTGTTAGACTTTGAAATTTGGACTAAAATAACCTATCTACACAAGTACGGTTCAGAAGAGATATGCATTTGGAGCTGAGAAAACTTGTCAAGGAGTTTTACTTACTAGTAATTGCAATACAAATCAATACTGGCTCCTTTGAACTGAAGGAAGATGAAGGAGGCCATCTGTCTCTGCTCTGCTGTAGTCTATGAACACCACACCCAAAAGGCATGTACTGGAGAGTTTTCAAAGGGAACCAGAATGTTGATTAAGGTAAAATGACACCATATACAAACCAGCTAAAAGAATAGGTGATTACAGTTGAGTCGGAAAAGACTCAAGTGGAGTTTTATGGTTTTCAGGTATCTAAATGATTTTTTTCTTTTTTTAAAAAAGTTTTTATTTTTTTTTTATTGAAGCATAATTGATTATACATGTTTTTAGGGGACAGTGTTGACTATCATTATTTATGTACAATATATGATGATCAAATCTATATTATTAGCATATTCATTATTACAAATCATAATTATTCTTTGTGTCCCTTACTCAATTTCTCCCCAACCCCTTGAATGATTTTCATGTGGGACAAAATTAGACTTCAGCATTATTCAAAAAGGATGAACAAGGATCAATGAGCCGAATTCAGAATAGATTTGGCTCAAGATAATAAAAAGGTTTGTAAATAGTGTCAAAAATGAAATAAGTTGAGTTGGACATTAGACCTTCCCCTTAGGTAATGTGAAAGCAGAAACTTGTTGACAGTTGGGTGGGATGTTTCAAACGGATCCAAATATTGGTTGGTAATATCAATACCTTGAAATTTTGGAAGCTTCTAATGTTAAGATTCTTGGACTGAATTTGTTGTACAATATCACATAATCTAAAAGTTTGGGCTAAAATATTAGCTAAACTAATCCTATGCAGCATTGGATTAACAAAATCAAGAGATTTTTTAATGTTTTTTTCAGATTACAATAAACGTAATTCTTATATATGATACTTTGAGGGATCCATTCTGTTTGCTAACAAACATTATCAAGCTTAAGTATGTTAAGAATATTGTCCTTACAAGTGGACACAGAGGGAGGTTGCAAACTTATTGCACAGATACTGTCATTAATGAACTACTTTAGACACCTTCCCTTGAAACTTCAAAATTCAATTTACCAGCTTGTCTTTTTATAGCACAGTCCAAGTATAATCTGCCTTTTCTTTTTCTGTTAACACTCCTTAGTAAAATAATCTTCGATTCCTCCTTTTGCCACCCGCTAGCTGTGAGACCTCAATAACGTAGCCTAAATCTTACTTTCCTCATATGCAAAATTTGGAATCCCTCATATATATCTCACAAGGTTGTAAAGATTAAATGAGACAACACAGAAATCCTGGACCATGGTACCTGCTTCATCAGTACTAATTCTTTCTCCAACCCAGTCAGTGATAATTTTGACATTGAATGAAACTATCTTGGATTGTTGACTAGATGAATGAATAGGTAGCAGGCATTGTCTTCTATGGTATTGCAAAGTAATGCAATTACTTATCAAATGCAACTGGCATGCATCCGACCTCTAGACAGTTGAGTGCAGGCTATAAATTATTAATTATTAGGTCATAATTCAATAAAAGCATTTCTGTGGGAATTTATATAATATGGTCCAGGCACTATGCTTTCCGGTGAACTATCTTAATACATCACAAAAGCCTGAAAAAATGGAGAGATTAATAGTTAATCTGTCCA